TGACTGTATGATCTGGTTGAACTGTAAAGTGCCTTGAGATGACATGTGTTGTGAATTTGGCGCTATATAAATAAACTGAATTGAATTGACTTCATTATGAGACTTCAGCAAAAACTCTGAAGGTTGGCAGAAAAAATTTCCAGCCAGCCTAACCCAAAAAATATGTTTTTATCTGAAATTCGAGTCAGCAATGGCCTTTAGAGACCTTTATCTACTCAACTCTCCTAGGATGAAATGTAAATATGAGACTCTTCCACCCTTCCTCCCCCAAAGACATCTGTGAAACTGCCTTGTTGGTCGGCTGATGAACTGTTACAAGGACATTGACCCTGGGAACAGAGATTTAAATATCTAAAACTGCATCCTGCCAAGGATAAAGTATAAAATATTATTTTATTTATTTTTTTCCCCATTGTGATCCCTTTCTTTTGATTTTCTAAAAGCAAGGGCGACAACTTTTTATGGAGCAAGGCCTCTAACACTGTGTATAATGAATAATGTAATATATACTCATGTATAATGTCTGTGTGTTGTCTTCTTGGACGAGCTGTTCCGAAACTGAATCTCAATTTAGGGATTAATAAAGTAGAACTGAATTGAGTCATTGACTAACACACTTTTTAAAAGAGGGATATCTTAATGTGCATTGCACTTTAAATGTTCTAACCTGTTTCACAGTTGGAGTCATTTGATTTACTTCTTTAGGATTTTTTTAATAGGATTTTTTGTAATTTATTTGATTTTGGCTGTGGGCAATACACTGCCTGTTTGTTACCTTACCGGCTTGCTTTGTTTTTAGGTTTGTGGAAAACGACTCGTGAAGATGGACCAGCTAGAAAAGCAAAGGTGCCAGAACGCTTGGACCACATCTCCAACTGGATCTCTGCTATTTTTTGCCCTCATATCCCTCTGTTGTCGCACCAATTTGCCCCATGTGTATTTCCACTTCCTCACCGCCTTGGCCGTATTTAGACCCACAGCCAGTTCGTGATTGTCCCTCTTGGCTTGTGGCCTGGAATAACATAGTGCAGACCACACTTCAAAATTTGGCATAAATCAAAAATATCTGCGTCACACTGCTATGGGAGGATAACCAGCCCATTAGACAACCGTTGGTTGTCTAATGGGGTGGCAAAATGTGGCTAAACATGTAATTACTGCTCAGATCAGGGTGGGGGCTAGAGAAAATTTCAGAGTCAAAAATTGTTTTGGCAAAAACAATTTTGGACTAACTTTAAGTAACCTGTGATGGTCATAACCAAGTGTCATTACCCCTGCATGAATAACAATCTTATTTAAATTTAGCTTATCCTTAGCAGTTTCTGGTAAGGTAGGATTTTGATGACTCTCCCTGGTTTCACTAAAGCTACATTTCTGACTATGGAGCTGCCAATTACCATGGTGACCAGTGAAGCAAGGCTCTAGGACTGCCACCCAGCTGTCTTGTGGATTCCAGCTGCTGGGAAACTGCTGGAGGACCACACCTCCCTCTTATTTATATATATATATATCTATATATATATAGATATATATATATTATTATTATTAATATTATTATTTATTTTATTTATTTTCTGTGCGGCCCGGTACCAAAAGACCGACGGACCGGTACCGGTGGTTGGGGACCTCTGGTATAGAGCTTCCCTGCTGTGACTGGCTACAATATAATAATAATAACCATCATGACAATAATAATGATAATAATAATAATAGTAATAGCTTTAACAAATATGCCACATTAGTTTAAATAATGGGCTATGAGGGCAACATGACTGGAAGTCTTGTCACGTGGATATGACTTATGGTAGCCTACAAAATAATAGCTATGTTAAAACCTGCTGCACAAACCACTTAAAAATAAAATGTGAACAGCTTTTAACCCTCCTTTCTTGGCATTGTGCTGCAATTACTAAATCAATATA